CTTTGGGCGCCTGGAATCCTGTGGATCATTTGAGCTGATCACGAGGAGCCACTTCTGGGAGAGAGTGACTAGTCTGAGAAATAAGCAGAAATAAGCCCAGTGTTTTTGTAGTTGCCACGTTAAATGATGGGGGCAAACCTTGAAGTTGGTTGAGTATGGAATGCCATTGCAGATCCATCTTTACCGTTGGCTTTTTTCTTTGATCATTGCATGTCATGTTGCTGATTAACCCCAGGTTTTATTGGCTTTTGTTCTGTTTTACTTGACAGTTTTATATTCAGTGGGTTTTTTCAGTTCCTTTTTGAAAGGTCAGCACTCACACCATTGTCGAAATTGGTGCAGAGCTGGCTGCTTCCTGCTGACTTTGGAAGGCATGGATCTGATTGGATACCAACAATGAAGAAAGAAACAACAAGTCTCCTCTCAGTTGTTAATGATAACTGAAAAGCAAAGAACGCCATATATATTTTTTTTGGAATTATAAGATAACCAGATTCTTCTTAAAAGTGGAATCTATATTACTAAATGGTTAGAGGCTCATGTATTCTCTCCTTTGCATTCACCTTTAAAAGGGTAGTTGACGAATTGAGTTGTGGTTTACAGCGAGGCTGCAATATCTGCACAGTTTAGCCCTTTTGAAAAGCTCCAATGGCCGCCCCCTCCTCCCATTTTTAAACCAGGTGTTGTGGCTTCTTCTTCTCCATTCACCCTTGAAAGGGCAGTTGGCAGGTGGTGTGATTAACAGCTAGGCTGCGATGTCTGCATTTTTTTTTTTAGCACAACACACCCAGTTTCAGCAAATCCGTAATTAGTAGCTTTTTATGGCATGCTTATTAGAGGGGGCACTGGGTATATCTGCCCCTACCCCACCCCTGGCGTCCGTGGCTAAGGCGTTGCGAGTCCGACTCGTAAGCCAGCATACCGCGATCGAAACCTGCGTGGGTTGCATGGATTTTTATCGTGGTATGGGACGTCGCAGGTCGACCCAGCCTAAAATGGGTACCAGGATGGGCTGTCCTGGGAAAGTAAAGACAGCCGGCGTAATGCTGACCACATTACCCACAGAGTGCTGATGGTCTGTAAAAATATGGGACGCTCTGCCCATATGCCCGATGCGCCAAAAGGCGTGAAAAGGGAACTTTACTTTTTACTTTTTTTTTACCCCACCCCTGCAACCCACAAATGGAGCCTCATGACCCACATAGGGAAGACACATGAACAAAAGATGTATGGCAGGTAGTCCTTGCTTGAAAGATAGTCTGTGTATGAAAGATAGGCCGGCGTTCATTTCTTAGAGTTAGCTCATGTACATAATTCCAACATACCTGGTTTATGGCGCCTTATGCGATTAAATGCGTGTGCAACTACTATTATGTTGTAACGTTTGTTTATATCGACGATAAACTGAATTTCTAGTGTTAAGCTGTTTGTGTTGGCATCTCTGACTGCTGTCTTATGCTAGTAATGCATGTGTTTGTTGTTGGATCTGTAAGTCTGTCAGTCTGTGCCAATTTTTTTTTTCTTACAAAGGACAGGTTAGTTGTTTTAGTTAACACAGGAACCGAGCAACTGTGGGGTGCCATTTGCGAAGAGGTTGGAACTGCGATTACTTTGTTCAGTATAGCTGTTGACAGTTTGGCAGCAGTCTGACTTAAACAGACTTCCATCCTTATATGAGCTTTAAACCATTCAGAAAACTGGCAAACTACTAAAACTGACTAATAAAAGTCACAAAACACCCAGCAAATTATGTGGTTGGCTCCCCGTGTGCGTTTCGGGGCCCTATTATAGGGAAAACAAGAATAGACCCACTGCCTACCCAAAAGCATATGGTAAGAGTCGACTAAGTAGAAGCTTCCTTTGAAGTCGGAGTGCATCTGCCTGAGAGGCAAGGAACCAACAGTCTGCACACAAATGTGTCAGATTTGTAAAACAGATTCACTCGCAACAATCAGGTTCTGGAACAGGAATGCCTTCCACAAGTGGATGAACAACCAGAACATTCTACTCGAGTTTACAGCTGGTGAACACGAAGAAGAAGAAGATGTGGTTGGTTTGCATTGTCCTTTAACTCTTTGAGTCCCAGAGGGTTTTGCATCACAGGCCCAAGAAGTAGTCAAAAGAGACTAAAATCGGCGCATCATGCATTCATTGGGCTTCTAGGCAGTAACCTATGAACGTATGATGCGTTCCTTGGGACTCAAAGAGTTAAAGAGTATACAAATAACTTTTTTTTAAATAATGGAAGGTAGCTTTTGGATGGATTGAACAAGACTTTCTGCAATGTTTCTGTTTTGTATTAGAGTGTGCATAGTAAACACTTAACTTACAGAAAAGGACAATTTGTTTATGAAATAATTTAAAGGCAAGAATGCAGTAACACTACATTCAAAGAAAACATGAAAATTTGTAACCATTTTTAGAAATTAGAAACATTCTATGTTTTGTAGTTTGCCACACTGAAGTGATAGTGACCTGTGTTTTCTTCATAATTATTTTTCACTTTCATCGTTTTCTGTTTGCATATGATTTGCTTGTCATTGGTGCCTGACCAGAATAGTGGGAATCAAATGATGGGATAGAAGAGAAGTAAACAGTGAATCAGGAAGTGGGGGAAAGATGCATGTGTTAGATCCTTCTTGGATGGCAGGGAATGCACATGTTCTGCCCCTGCCTTTTTTTGTTTGTTTGTGTGGGTATGTATAGTGCATACCAGCCCCCTCCCCAGCAAACCTCACTAGATACTAGAGCATCTCCAGGCCACTAGTTTTTCTAGAGTTAACATTTCTTAGCCACTGTAATTGGCACAAAGAAAGCAGACCACCATTATAACTGATACTACTCGCAGTTGGTTGAACATGGTCAATCAATTTTTGTGTTTTGTTTTTCATAAATGGATAGATTACATGGCTGCTCTGAACAGACCTGGTAGAAGGCAACCACCTGTGAAGTAGGAAGCAAAGATGACCTGACAACAGTGAGACTGCGATGTCCCAGGAAACTAACCGGGAAGGCTAACCCAAACAAAAAATGCCTGCAGAAGTTAGATGTGCCTGCCAAAAGCCGTAAATATCGCAGCCATATTGTAAACGGGCACAACATGTTTACATCTTTAGTAGAAGAAGAAGAAGAAGAAAAAAAAATTAGGAAAACCTCTAATAACATAATTACAATGGCTTTTTGGCTTTGCACTGGAACCCACACAATCAAAGGAATTAAGGCAGACTAAAAAACAAATGAAAAAGGGAAATAGAGAGTGAAAAAAGATATGGAGAAAATGGGATGAGCTGCATGTGATAGCACAGGAAATGATGACTTGAGCTGGCTAGGGCAGGGATATTTAACTGGTGGACCTTGGGCCAAATCTGGCCCGCAGAGGCCTAGCAAGTGGTCTGCAGATCACTGCCAGTTGTTTAGTATTAATGGTCTTTCTATGCTGGGGCTGGGGTCTTTGACCATGACAATCTCGATTCTCAAGATTTTGACCCTTATGTAGTTTCAGTCTATACTCCATTGAAGGATAAAGAACAGAAGACATGACAGAAGAAGTATGTACCTTGTGCATCTTGCCGTATCCTTGCACTTTCTAGCATAACTTCTGTTGCACTTGATTGTACATAATCTAGTAGTATGTAATGTGTTTCCATAGCAGCTACTGCAGTTGGGATGTTAAGTGTTGGGCCCACACATATTCTAAGACACATCATATGAGATGGGAAGGTAATTTCCCTCCCTCTTCATCTTACCTTCTCAGACAGTTTCTAGAAAATTCTGGATAATCTCTAGTACTGGGTACCCATTGCGATGAGGCTGGGTCAACTCTCTAAAACTCTAACTATTTTTCCACTTCTGGTGATGGCATCTAGGTCCCTGTCTTTGGCAGGCAGTATGAAATTAAACTTTGTATTTTGCTGACTTTATGATAAGGTAATTCTGCATTAAGAATATAATTAATCTTTGAAAGTAACTTTTTATAGAAAACACTAGGCAACAACAAAAAAAAAACATACCACAAGTGAAAATAACAGATGTTAACTAATTTAGCTGAGCTAAAAAAGAAAATGACATTTGAAAGTGTTGATTGGCTCCAGCTTTGGCTCCAGTTTTCAAGATATTTGCTACCAGTTTATTTAACTATGATCAGTTTATATATTTGACAAACTGTTGTGGCTAAATGCATAATTTTGTTCTAAAGACTAATAAAAATGTAACTAGAATTGGATGATGCAATCCTACTTATGATTGCATCACCTTTAGATAGAAATATCTTGTCTTTAACTCTTTGAGTCCCAAAGAACGCCTTATACGTTCATAGGTTCCTAGCTAGAAGCCCAATGAACACATGATGCACCAATTTTATCACTCTGTTTACTACCCCCTGGGTCTGTGATGCTAAATCCCCTGGGACTCAAATAAGATGGGAGTTAATAAAATTGTGCTTTTAGTGTATTTGTCTTTATGCAAATTATCATTGTTAGAAATGCCAAGGACATGTGGGAACAGCGCTAATAGTTCCTGTTGAATATGTGGTGAGGTAACATTTAAAGAACCATAAAATTAATATAACTAGAGTCATTAAGACAATTTGATTTTGGCTGGAAAATAGCAGATCCAGAAAACAGCTGGGCGCCACATCTCTGCTTCACTGCATGTGCAGAACATCTTAAACTGTGGTAAAGTAAGGGACCCTTTTCCACGCCATCAGAAGTATAGGGCATATAGGGCTAGACCTATATTTGTATAGACCAGTCAGCACAAGATGGGTGATGTGATCAGCATCACGCCGGCCGCCTTTACTTTCCAGGGACTGCACCCGGTACCCACTAAAGGTTGGGTCGACCTGGGAGCCAAGGTCCTTTTTGAAAAAAGTCTAGCTCTACCAGGGAGCGAACCCACAGCCTTCCGATCCACGACGAGCTCTAGCCGCTCGGCCACAGCGACTGCCATCTTAAACTGTGGTTGACTGTAATGTTTCTCACTGAACTGTGTTTAAATTACAGAGCAATTGGACCGCATTGAGGAGGGCATGGACCAGATCAACCAAGATATGAGGGATGCAGAGAAGAATCTGGAGGGGCTGGAGAAATGTTGTGGTCTCTGTGTTCTTCCATGGAAAAGGTTTGTGTGTTGCCATTTGTTTGCATCAGGATAACAGTTCTATCTTAGCATCTTGAAATATTTCCCAGTCTGGTCTCTGTGACCATATTTTTGGGGCAAAAGGAAATAGACCTATTGCTCCGTAATGACAAGCCTGTCCCAAAATGCAACTAATTAACTCTTTGAGTCCCAGGGAGTTAAGCATCACAGGTCCAAGGGGTAGTGAAGAATGACGTAAAATCGGCGCATCATACGTTCATTGGGCCTCAAGGTAGGAATCTATGAACGTATGATGCGTTCCTTGGGACTCAAAGAGTTGAGGATTTGTGGAAATTGGATGTGTTGGACAGAGAAACGCAGATATCACAGCCCAACTGTAAACCACAACACACTGTGCCAACCACTATTTTAAGAATGAATGCAGAAGAACAAGATGAGTCGCTCAAAAAGAACATCAATGCTAGTGATTTTAACCCTAAATGTGTGTTCTTGTTTAAATATTATATAAATATTAGAAGTTAAAAAAAAAAAAATCCATTGTGCAATAAACACTTTGAGAATCTAGTGATAAATGTTAATAAACTAGCCTAATTTCTCCCAGATTTACGGTATCTGTCATGAAATCAAGGCCGAAGGGTTGCGATATCCATAGTACCGAGCCAAAGGGTTAACAACTCATGATTTTTGCATATAAATAAAAATGTAACATCATCATCATAATCATGTGCTCTGCCAGGCGGCGTCGGTGCTTATGTTTCTTTACAGATGTCTGTCTTTGGTATTCTGAATCAGTTCCACTGATGATATTCCTCCGCACGGTCGCTTCACCCCATCAAGGATAGTTTCTCTTGGTCTGCCTCTGCTTCTTCTGCCGTTTATCTTTCTATTCATTAGGATGTTCTCCAATGCCTCTCTTCTCATCTCATGACCCTAGAACACTGACCGTCTCTTTTTTTTAAAGTTGTTGAGAGTTTTCTAATTTCGGTAGCAATTTCCAAGCAGTCATCGCTAGTTGCTGTAGCTGCCCAAAGTAATTCCAACATGTGTCTGGAAAAACACTGGAAAAAGGGGTAGAGGCAGACCAAAAGAGAGCTGTTCCAGGCAACCAGGGATCGTGACCTGTGGAGACGCATGAGCACCTACGCCGGTTGGCAGGACACATGAAGATGATGATGATGATGTCTGAGAAACTACATCTCTACAACTTCCAAGTTCCAAGACTCATGGTCATACACCAGCACTGGTTCAACATAACATTTCAGTACGCTTTTGCTTATATTTTATGAGAGAGACCTGTTGCATAAACATTTTTTTCCCTCATCCTATGAATTGCCATCTTCGCTTAGCCTATCCTTCTCTTAATCTCTGTCGCGAATCTTCCACCAGAGATTAAAAGCAGCATATGCCAGGCAAATATGGCATTTTAAAAGATACAAAATATTTGATTGGAACATAGATAAATGATTATTCTTCTGGTGCTTTATTAATATCATACCATAGATGACGTCAAAGGACAGTCCAACATGTTAGAGGGTGGTAAGACTGGGTTTCCTGGCTTTCTGATGCTTTTAACGACCCCAAAACATCTAGAACTGATTCAACCCCAACCCACCTATGTCCCACCAGAGAGTGCAGCCAAGGTCCCACGACTGCATGCAGCCTATCTATCACTCCCTGAAATATTAGATTGTCCTGTGACCTGTGGATTGCCCTGTTTGGGGTAGGATATTAATAAAGCACCCTTGTTCAAATTCATTGACCAAAAACTGCAGCAGAAAGTTTTGTTTGTTCCTCCCTTCTGGACTCTGGTCCTGTTCCAGAATCGGAGTGTTGCATGCACATTCATTTTACAGATCTGACACTCAAAGCACAAACTCTATAGTTCCCACACAAAGGATGAACTCTGTAGTTCTGGCAGTGAGCCCCTTGGATCTCCATTAAAGACCGCACTCATTAACTGAACCTTGTGACCATGAATTAAACCAGTGACCTTCAGAACTTGAGGCAAACAATTTGACCACTTCACCACCTAGTGATTGTGTGACAGAGTGCACCGTGACCTGCTAGGCCCTATCATCAAAGCATGTGATATTGACATAACCAATCAGAATGTTTTATTCTTTTCTCTCACAGGTCAAAAAATTTTGAAAAGGGTTCAGACTATAACAAGACATGGAAAGCTTCAGAGGATGGCAAAATTAATAGCAATGGACCAAGACTTGTTGTGGACCAAGGCAGTGGTGGAGCGCCTACCGGGGGCTACATCACAAGGTGTGTATGTCGGTGCCTTCCTTACAGTCCTTTACCATACCTTCTTCTTTTTATATAGTCCACACCGTGAGTCATTGGAAGTCATGTCTATTCACAAGCTTCTTTTCCTAAACTTTCTGGCCGTCTTTATTTCCCCACGACATACATCCTGTTACCCATTTTAGGCTGGGTTGACCTGCGACGCCTCATACCACGTTAAAGATCTGCGTAGCTAGCAGTGGGTTTCGATCGTGGTACACTGGAATTACTAGTCGCACTTGCAACGCCTAAGTCACAGACACCGCTTTCAGTTAGTTCTAATAGATTATTTTCCATGCAATGATTTCAGACAGTTTTCTCGTCTCTTGGTGTCCCTTTCCTTCCTCAAATGTTCCTACAGTTGCAATGTACTCCAGTTTTCTACTTCTCACAACATGACCAAAGAATGTACATTATCTCCATCTGATGTGGACAATCAGTTCTCTTTGTGAGTCCTTCGAGACATCTTCATTATTCTGTCCAGGGCATTCTCATTATTCGAAACAAGAACAAGATTTAATGCCCAGAAACAACGATGATTATTTAGAAATTAAGGTGCACCCTCTTTATATAATAATCCAGTTATTTCTTTGTCCGTTTATAAACCATTGTGTGCAGTCGTATAAAATAGGGAGGTTGCTGCCCATCACCATTACCTCTGCAGAACAGTATTCCTGAATGCAATATTGATTTCCCAGTTGTTCCAGCATCTTTATCTTTAGCAGCTCAATATGCTCAATTGAGAGACCTGCCGGTTCTCAGCTTGTATATTAATCAACAATAAAAACAGACTCATTGTTGTGAGAAATTAAGCTCTGTTGTTCCTAGGGAGTGACATCTGAAGTTGACGGGTATCCAGAAGATGAAATAACCCCCAAGGAAATTATGCTGCCATGTTTTCGCATGTTGTATTAAATTCCCTACTTTTATTTTGAAGTTGGTGTAATAAATATATATTGAAGCTGTGTTAGTGTTGTGGTCTGGTCTAAATTAAATTAAAACAAACAAGGACAAGTGAAGAATACTTTTTAAATCAGTGGCACTTTGGCTAGACTCACATTTTTATAAGCCAGTTGGCATTTAGTGAGGTATAAATATTATACTTTTTTTTTTTTCTTTTCAAATTTAATGTCTTAAAACTTCTGCAGTGTTTCAGTCTATTTTAAATGGTAAACTTTTATTTTACTGCTGACCATGTCACCCACCTAGTGCTAGTTGGTCTGTTTGTTTGTTTTAGTATCCAGAAGCCATGAGTTGTTAACCCTTAGGCTCGGTGTTATGGATATCGCAACCTTTCGACCTTGATTCCATTGTAAATACCGTAAATTTGGGAAAAAATGTGACTTTTCTGCCTACCCCCGGGATTGAACCCGGACCACAAGGAGTTCGTCACCCAGTCTCCGCACAATCCGGGTTAGCAACCTACGCTAGAGAGCCGGGTCTGTAAAATGTAGGTTCTTTGTGCTTCTTCTAATAAGCTGTATAAGTTTATCTTCATTTCTGTAAGGCCTTTCCTAATGCCGTCTTTTCATATTTTGCGTGGTCTTCCCCTTGCTGTGTGATTCTTATATTTCTTCAGTATGACTCTGTGGCATTTGATACCAGGGGATTTTTATCAGGTGACCAGCTGCCATTGAGTTGATGTAGATAGACCCTTTTGTTCCCCCATGTGGGCTCCAGGGGATCCATGTGAGGAAAACAAGCATAGACCACTGCCGTCCCAACAAGCATTTTGTAGGAGTCAACTAATTGGGGGCTTCCTTCGTAGTCGGAGTGCATCTGCCTCTGAGAGGTGAGGAACCAACATTCTGCATACAAATAAGTCAGATCTGTAAAATGGATGTTCACACAACACTCAGGTTCTGGAATAAGACTCAAGTCCAGAGATGGACGAACAAGTCAGACTTTCCGCCAGAGCATTAAGCCAGTGAACCTGAAGAAGAAGAATACCCTCTCATTATTTGATTCTGGTTGCATTTTGACATATCAAGCGACTGAGCGTGCCCTGACTCGGCTGCCGATCGTCTGATGAACTGCCACGCATAGTGGGGTAAGCAAATATTGACAAAAGAAGAAGATATCAACTCAACTGTCAGCTGCTCACCTCTACTCTAAGCTTTTTCCAAATCGGTAGTCAAAATGAAAAACTGAACCAGGCTGGATGTAACATAAAAACAGTTACATACTAGGGGGTCTCCGTGGCAAAAGTGGTTAAGCCATTTGCCTTGCGCTCAGAAGGTCTTAGGTTCATTGCATGGCTGTGCACTTCAGTTCATGAGTGCAATTTTTAGGGAGATCCCTGGGGACATCGCCAGAGCTATGATGTTAATGACAGTGCAGCACTCTCGGTAGGCGACAAGCCGTTCTACGCGGAGAGACCAAGCCATGTGGGATCCAACCCGTTGAAGTGAATCTTTCCTCTTGACTTTAATCTTTTAACTTTAACAGTTACAAACAAGACTGTACAAAATCACTTAACTAAAGTTTCTCCAAGAAAAATCCAAGCTATCTGGCCAGTTGAAACTCTGAGGCATGTGTGAATACAAAGAATAAATCCAGAAAAGAATGTGGAAGGCAAAGGTCGTGACTCAACAACTGTAAAAGTATGGGTTAGAGATAGTGATGAAGAACAGAGAGCCTACGGATTGACAGGATCAGTAAAATCTTACAAATAATGCAGATTTGAAGTAGTCAGTGCAGCATTGATAGCATTACAATGTGCAGTTCCGCTCCTAATAGTGCCTCAACCAAGAAACAGTAGAAAACAGTTCTTTTACAGGCTACCCAATGGATGGCCCAGATGCAGATGGTGTACTTCCCTGCTTTATCTTTATGTACTGCATTAGAAGTATATCTTTCTTAAATTAGGACTAACAAGAGAGGAAACTTGTGGATATCAAAAAGAGCAGTCAAGGGAAGATTAAAGTAGTAGAGAATGTTAGTTTGCAGTCATGGTAAGAAGAAACATCTATATTTAAAAAAAATGTTTGTCAGAACACAAGACAGAAGGTTGGGGACAGCCATAATTACCAACTTTACATTACAAGGACTTCATAGAATAATCATTAAATTATGGAAGTTGAAAAATAGAAAACCCCTGATGTCAGAAACTTTCATGACCGACTGTGTTTATGACTTTTGCAGTGTGGTCAGGGGGTCCATAGAGCCTGAAGTTTTAGGGACGCACAAAGCCCCTATCGTATTTTTGAATATGGAGCAAGGATGATATTTTAAGTTACCAGATTTGTTTTTGGATTTTTTTTTTCTCAAGTTCCAATATTATTTGCAAATGCAATGGTTGATTCTGAAAAGGCAGCAGTTATGATTGCTAGTGATTTATTAGTAATAGCATTTTGTCGCTGTGTTTCTGATTGATACAGCAGGTAAAAAAATATCCTGTACGTTTGTGAAAGTGCCGGAAAGTTAGATAGAAAGAGGCAGAGGGAGGTAAAGAGAACAGATGTTGGACACCTTGGCATCAAGGCATTAGTAGAACATCTGAATCAAAAATGATTGATGACAGTACACGAGACAGAAGACTATCAGCAGGTGTGATTACCAAGTGAACTATCTGAAGTAGACAGTTTCAAATATTTATATGGAATTAATGTTGGCATCTTTCCAGATGCTTCTGTTATGTTGTGGTAAAGAGAGGTTAGTTGGTGGGACAGCTAGCTCTCTAAAATATCTCAGATCTTCATGATTTGGCCATCGTCTGGATAAGAGGTGGCATTGCAGGGTATATCTATTTAGACAAAAGCTATTGGAGTAAAACCATATGCAAACTGGCTGAAGGCAAAGGGGAAATCACCGCTGTATTTTCCCTAGTATATGATATCTTTAGTGATGATAGGGAAGCATAGAATCACAGCCTGTGTCGATGGCAAGTGTGACTAGTAAGACCCACCTGCGTTAAGAAAAGCCTTCCATGGTCAGAGCATGGAATTGCAGGACCACCACGTTTAGACCTACAGCTGGCAGTTTTATTTGTATCATTTCAGCAGCCCTTGGTGCAAACAGCAAAGAGAAATGCTCTGTTGAGGTGACATCTGGTCTATAACATGTTTTTGTTGTTTGCCCTAGTGCAGTTATTCTACAGAGGTATCCTGAAGTTCCCTGTGCAGCTTTAAACTGTTATGACTTGAGATGTAACCATTGTTACACACTTTTGTGTGTGTACTCATGGAAGGTGATTATTGATTATTTACTAAATGTTTTTTTTCTTTCCATGATAGATTATGAATTCCTTGTCAGCTTTGGCTGTGAACTTGAGGTTAACTTGCCAGACATTATTATTATTATTTTTTTTCAGTTTTATACTTTTAAAGGAAATAATTCTCTCTCGCTCTGTCTCTCTGTCTCTGTCTCTTTCTTTCCTTCCTTCTTTCTTTCTTTCTTTCTTTCTTTCTTTCTTTCTTTCTTTCTTTCTTTCTTTCTTTCTTTCTTTCTTTCTTTCTTTCTTTCTTTCTTTCTTTCTTTCTTTCTTTCTTTCTTTCTTTCTTTCTGTCTGTCTGTCTGTCTGTCTGTCTGTCTGTCTGTCTGTCTGTCTGTCTGTCTGTCTGTCTGTCTGTCTGTCTGTCTGTCTGTCTGTCTGTCTGTCTGTCTGTCTGTCTGTCTGTCTGTCTGTCTGTCTGTCTGTCTGTCTGTCTTTCTTTTTTTTCTTTCATCAGTCATTTCCTACCTCTCCTCTGTATCCTTTCTGTATCTCCTTACTTTCCCTCTTTGTCTTTTTTTCTTGCACTTACCCAAGCCATTTCTTCTTTCTCCTCCCCCCCCCCCTCCCCCCTACCCCCCCTCGACTCCCCCCAGCCCCCCCCCCCCCCCCCCCCCCCCCCACCCCCCCACCCCCCCCCCCCCCCCCCCCCTCCCCCCCCCCCCCCCCCCCCCCACCCAAAGAAAAGCCTGTAAACATGTAGTCATTTATTTCCAAGGGCTTTAAAACAGTTTGATGCCAATAGATAACACCTTTTTTGTAAAGTGGGTTCTCAGAAACTACAAAAGCTAGGCACATACAAGAAAGCACTTGATAATGTTATTACAAAACAGTCTGGTAACAGTTACTGAGAGTAAACATTGACCTCCTATCATTCGTGAAATATCAGTCCTAAATGAAGTCCTCTGCTCATTGAAGAGTTAATCAAACTCAAGAAATACATTATATCCACATTGTTAAAACCTAGTGGTACATATCTTTTCAACACTCAGTAACATTAAAACAGATTACACAATATTATCATCACAGTTATTTAACACACATACTAAAAATATATTATCAACAGTGTATACTCCTAAAACAGGTTGCAGTTAATACATAATCTATGCAATATTAAAATCCAGAAGTAATTTATTGATAAGCCTAAATATCTAGTATCGACATTAAAAAAAAAACACACAAAAACTCTTTATATCCCATTTACTATCTAGATGGGTTGAACAGGATATTTCTATCTAAATTATAGTTCTACTACTGCAGTATTCATTAATTCAGCTTTTAAGCAGTGTTGATTGTGAGTTTTCAAAACGTCTGCTTTGAAAGTTTCCATATGAAGTGCACAACTACACAAGGCCTTCATCAGAGTTCCGTTTTGCCAGTATGTTCCGGTGATGTGCATTGCTGTGCTACAGCATTGTTGTATACTGAGAGGGGGGTGCAGCCAACAGTCACATTGCTGTGCTACAGCATTGTTGTATACTGAGAGGGGGGTGCAGCCAACAGTCACATTGCTGTGCTGCAGCATTGTTGTATACTGAGAGGGGGTGCAGCCAACAGTCACATTGCTGTGCTACAGCATTGTTGTATACTGAGAGGGGGGTGCAGCCAACAGTCACATTGCTGTGCTGCAGCATTGTTGTATACTGAGAGGGGGTGCAGCCAACAGTCACATTGCTGTGCTGCAGCATTGTTGTATACTGAGAGGGGTTGCAGCCAACAGTCACATTGCTGTGCTACAGCATTGTTGTATACTGAGAGGGGGTGCAGCCAACAGTCACATTGCTGTGCTACAGCATTGTTGTATACTGAGAGGGGGTGCAGCCAACAGTCACATTGCTGTGCTGCAGCATTGTTGTATACTGAGAGGGGGTGCAGCCAACAGTCACATTACTGTGCTACAGCATTTTTGTATACTTAGTAGGGGGGTGCAGCCAACAGTCACATTGCTGTGCTGCAGCATTGTTGTATACTGAGAGGGGGTGCAGCCAACAGTCACATTGCTGTGCTACAGTATTGTTGTATACTGAGAGGGGGTGCAGCCAACAGTCTGTGTTTACCAGCTCAATGTGTGCCAGCATTTCTTATGTGAACATATATATATATATAATATATATATATATATATATATATATATATATATATATATATATATATATATATATATATATATATTATATATATATATAGATATATATATATATATATATATATATATATATATATATAATATTAGGGCTGTACCGAATAGTGATTTTCACTATTCGGCCGTATACGAATAGTGGGACCAACTATTCGGCCGAATACGAATAGTGTATCATCATCATCAGGTGCCTTGCCGACTGGTGTTGGCGATTTTGCCTCGCCACAATTTGCGATCTCCTGCAGCATGTATCAGTTCGTGTGCTGACACACCTCCATGACATGCAACAAGACTGTCAAGAATCTTCTCTCGTTGTCTTTTTCTTTCTCTCCTTCCACAAATCTTTCCAGTGGTCACCACATGTTCCATTTTCAATCTTCTTATAAGATGGCTGAAAAATTATGACTGTCTCCTTCTGATGTCTGTGATTAGTTGTCTTTGGGCTCCCGCCTTTTTCAGAACCTAATGGTTGCTTTTTTTAGGCTGTCCAAGGTATTTTAAGCATTGTTCTGTAAAACCACATCTCTGAGGCCTCAAAAAATTGTTTGGCCTGGCTACCGATTGTCTAGGACTCACAGCCATATGTTAAAACTGGATGTATGTAGCAAGCAAGACAAAGATATATTGCGTAAGATGTTCTTTTTTTTAAAATGTAAAATGCAGTTTTTGCCTGTCCTATTTTGTTTTTATTTTAGTAATGCATCTATTATCTGATTTTATTCATGTGCCAAATTCGCATTTAAATCATTGTTCGTTCAGGCGTTCGTTCAATGTAATTTAAATGCACCTTCATATTCTCGTTC